AAATAGATAAATAATTTATAAATAATTAATCAAAACATTTATAGATTTAAAATACTGATTCTTCAATAAATAAATAATAAATAAATGATTAAACAAAAAATGAATAAGATTCAAATCTAATAGAAAAATAAGTAAATTTAGATTCTAAAATAGATAAATAATTTATAAATAATTAATCAAAACATTTATAGATTTAAAATACTGATTCTTCAATAAATAAATAATAAATAAATGACTAAACAAAAAATGAATAAGATTCAAATCTAATAAAAAAATAAGTAAATGAAGATTCTACAACAGAAGATTCTTAAAGTGAAGAATTAAAAGCATAAGATATAATAAATAATGATGAAAATTTGTAATAAGAAAACAAAAAATAATAAAGTCCTATTAATCTTTCTGTTGAAAATGATAAATAATCTAACGATAATATTATATCAAACTAAAATACAAAAAAACCTAAAGAAGATCAAAGCAAAATAGATTAATAAAATTTTGATAAATCTAAACAGAATTTGATTCCAGTGGAAATAAAAATGGATCAAAAAGATACCTCCAAACCTATAGAGAGACATAAATAAATATAATCTCCTTAACCATTAGACCTTGATAAACCAGATGAATATAAAAATTAATTAGAACTCCCTAAACCAGCAATATTTTCCTAAAAATTTATCCATTAAAATTCAATTGTTCCAATTCTTCCAAGCCCAAAACCATAACCTCCACGATCACAACCAAAACCAAAATAAAAATTACCGATTACCGATTAAGAATTATAAAAAAATTAATAGAAATATCCAATTGCATTATTTTTAGGTAGTGCAGGAGTTGGTAAAACATCAATAATAACAACTATTTTTTCAGGTTATATTAGTAATTTAAAAGAATTTTAATTATATCCAGCAAGAATAGAAGATTCTTTAATTTATAATTTTGTAGATACAAAAGCATTTGATTTTGAATCAAATATAGATGAAAGAGAATAATAAATAAAACTCTATTAATCTATATTTTATAAATATCCAAATAAAGTAGGATAACTATTTGTAGTTGTTAATTTTGAAAGAACTGATTTGATGAAAAAAAAATTATTGTCAATATATAAGTTCTTTAGAAAATTTTCATCTATTATAAGCATAATAGTAACTGATATCCAATTAAGTGATAATCAAGAATAAAGTGAAAAAGATTTGAAAAAAAATTTTTAATATTTCAAAGCTTAAAATATTATATTTGTAAGAAGAGATACACAAGGAGATGAATTATTATCAAAATTGAAAAATTCATTAAATAAAATTTAAGATGATTATGAATTCGATTTAACAGATACTATTTTTGAAAAAGAAGATGAAGAAGAAACGAAAAGGCTATAAGATTAACTGATGTAAAGATTTAAATGATGAATTTATTTTTGTTTATAAAATAAATTATGTAATTATGTTAATTAGAAAAAACACATAAAATTTCTAACAGCAAGTTTTTTTGTTATCATAAACAGACAAAGGATACTTATATATTAACTATATAACCTCCAAGCGAATTTAATAGATTAGTTTATCATTTGAATCATCCAAATTTATTACTAGTGGAAGAGTATTGGGAGGAGAGAGGATAAATTTGTTCTGTACAAAGATGTTAAACAATAAATGATTTGTAAGAAGTAATGAATAATATAAAATTAGATAATGTAAAACAATAAGTTCTCAGAAAATACTATATTGACAATATTATACCAGATCATCTCAGCAATGTTCTATTTAGAAGAATAACAAGTACCAGTGACAGTATCATTGAATAATGTATTTTTGGATGAGTAATTATAAGTGAAAGTATAATCATATTATTAATTATTAGATAGATGTTTTAAATATAGTTAATGCATAACTTTCATTTGCATCTCCTGAAGTTTTAAGAAAAGAGATTGAATCATCAGGCATATGGAGTGTAGGATGTGTAGCATATTATTTAATGAAATCTGAGTTGCCTTTTTCAGGAGCAAATGAGAGATCTATAGCTTATAACATAATATATAGAGAACCACCTCCTAGTGATTTTTAAGAGTTCCCATTAGTTAGTGCATTGTTGAAAGTTATATTTATAAAGAATTGGAAGAGAAGAGCAACTACAAAATAAGTTTTATAATTTTTGGCTTCAAAATCTGCAAGTGTATAGGAACCTGTTAAATTATTGAGATCTCCATAATCATCAGAATAATTTGGAAAGAATAAATCAAGTATGATACTTAGTTAAATTGATAAAGTGGAATATTCAGAAAAATAAACTGACAGTATAAAAATGGATGATAAATAATCTCCATTAGCTAAAGTTCTTACATTATAAGAATTTGAAGAACAATTATCTCGTATGAAAGGAAGACCTTAATCTTCAATGATAGATGAATCAAATGAGATTATTAATAAAATTAAAAGAATGAGACCTAATTCTGCAATTACATTATCTGGAAAAGAGTTTGTTAAAAAAAATATAAAAGAAGAAATCAATTAAAGAAGATAAGTACAAAGTTCAAAGCCTTTTTTAGTAAAAAAGAATACTGAAAACTTTACAAAACATCATAAAGAGATTTCAATTGATTTAGATAATGCAGATAAGTTAAAGCATAGTGATACTATAAGGGTGTATAATTTAGAATATTAAGACAATATAATGCATCCAACTAAGAATAATAAAGTATTTATGAAAATATTAAAACCAAAAATGGTTTCTGCAGCCGATTATCCAAAAGAATAAATTTAAGGAATGTAAAAATGGAGAAACAAAATGAATTCAATGCTAATATGATTTTGATTATTTAAAATTTTGTCATTCGGACATATTTCATTATTGATATTATTTTAAAAATACATAAAGAATAATCAACTATGTTTCTATATTATTAACAAAATCTATAGGTTGAGAATAAGATTAATTGAATGAATTTTTAAATAAAAATACATAAAAAGTTCATATTATTTAATTTGAATAAGTTAAGAAAATTTAGAAATAAGTATTATTGTCTTAGAATAAACTAGATTGTGAAAATTAATAAGTCAAACAAAATTTTCTAGACTTTCTGGTATGTCATTTAATCTTATTCCTTATTCTTTTAGAAGTCCACTCATTTCTATTTCAACTTTATTAAGAAGATTGTGGATTTCTTAATCTCCTTACATATTCTTTAGACTTACTATTTAATCTTCTTCTTCTACTCCAAACTTTAGATAGATCAAATCTTAAATTATAATGTTAATGATTGTTGGTACCAACATTACATTTTCAGATGGCTTAATTTATAATTATTATATATATACGATTCTATGTAAAATGACATGATAATCTTAAGGAAAGTTTTTAAGAATGTGTACATTAAATTGAATAATGTCTTTCATCTATTTTAAGTTCAATTTCTTTGTTGATTCAATCTTCTCTTTAATCTTTTATTTTACACTTGCTTACAACATGTATAACTATTGGAAATATCCTTAATCCATTCTCACCAGTACACTCTCTTCAAATATTTCTTTAGGCACATCTAATTAATATAGTAGTCTTTTTAATGCTTAATCTAAGACATCTTCAACATCCATTATAAATTAAACAATGCTATCAATATATATTTATTGATTTGATTTTCTTAATCTTCTTCTCTAAACTCGATTCTATTTGCTTAATTTTACAAAATCTTCCCCTGCTATTTCTAACTATTTTGCATAAATATCCACTATGCAACTTGCTTCTAAACAATGATCATCACTAAATCTAATTTCTATATCATTGCTTATTTCAAATTTCTAATCAATAGATCTATCATTTGTTTCTAAATATTAATCTAGATCATGCTTCGAAAATAATTTATCTAAACTAATTTATTATTTCGAGTTCTTTTTCACATAATAGGCACTTCAATTTAATCAATAAAATCTTACCCAAAACCTACTACTCCAAGAGAAGCCAAAACAACTGCTTTATTTTTAGATATTGCAGAACCCATAATTAATTATTATTATAATTTTATTTTTTATGACTCATTATATTAAGGTTTTGCTATTAATTTACTTCATATTTACATAAATTAATTCAAATATATATTAAAACTTTGTATATCTCTATAATTTATTATATAAATAAAATACTAAATATATTATTATTCAATCACATAATCATTTACTTTCTCCAATAATATTCAATTTTGCTTGTTTAATTGTAGCCATCAATATTATTTTTATGATAATACTCCTTAAATGTCTTATACTTCAAAAATATTAAAAGTCAGCATTTTTTAGCATCTCAATTATTCTATATATACTAAAACTTAACTTATTTTATACATTAATATATTGATGTAATAATTTTATAGTACAAATAGTAATTATATTTTATTAAATGATATTTTCTAATTAGAAAATAGTAATAAAAATTGAATAAATAAGCTTGTTTTTTTGATTAGAAAAAAATATGAAAGAAAATGAACATTTAAATTATGGGTTTTCAAAGAATCAATATTTGAAAATAATATAAAAAGAATAGATGAAAATTCTAAATAATTATAATATTCAATGTTCTGTTCTTGCTCTAACATAGTAATCACCTTAGAAACGAACCTTCATTTTCTCCTTATTTGCTTATAAGATTAATATGAATAAGTACAATTTTTACGAAAACTACTCACTAATTTCTTTTATTACTCTTATTCTAATGATGATTCTATAATTATATTTATAATATACTATCTAATTAATCTTGTTTTTGAAGTTCAGTTTAAACATGTTTAATCTTTGCATTAAATTCGTCATTGACTTACTACTTCTTAAGTTGGTATTCTCGTAATAGGTCGGCACTCAATACCCTGAAAAAGCTAATCTAATTTTTTCTTTTTTTCATTCTCCAATTAACATAATTGATCTTAGAGTTATAACTTATCATTTTCAGTTTATTTAGATTTGTAGATATTCCAATCTTAATGTAATTGTGTATCTTTTCTTAATGATATTTTATTAGAAAATAGTGATGTTTTGTAGCCTTCCTCTTAATTTACATTAGGAGTTGTTTCAAAACTACGATTTCCATAAATTTTGCTAATAATGTTCTATTTCTATTTAGTGAGGTCTAATTGTAATTATTGAATCTAATTTCTTAGTGATTCAATGTTATTTAGAGGCTTTTTATAAGTATTCATAATTTTAATATGTTTAATACATAAGTACAATTGAAGAGAGAATAATTTGTAATTTAGATTAGAAAATAAGCCAGGGAAGAAATCTTTTAAAGAAAGAGACATACAGCATTAAATGGAGATTTAGATAGAGTATTGAAATAGACGCCAGATGAAATAATTCTTTAGATTTATAAAAGTTTTATGCTTTAAGACTTTAATTTGCTTAAGGATTAACTATTTAAATACAATGAGCAATTCTTAATAATTATTTAGAGAAAGTAATAAGCTGATGAAGTTTTCATGAATCAATATATAAATCATTTTAGCATAAATTAAGAATCCACTCAATTATTTATGCAAATATTGCGTATGCCAGATGTTTAATAAGAAAATAAGATAGAAGAAATTAGAATGCTTTGTATAAACCAAGTCCTTATAATATTGGTCAATATGACATTTGTGAATGCACCATAAATAGTTAACAATTTATTGAACTACAATATTTTAGATATACTTTTGAATGATATATTGGGTCGAATGAATACAAAACAAAAGTTAGCAAATAATTTTGATGTTTGGTAATCGATAATTGATAGTGTAATAATATAACTTACTTGCAGCTCTGTCAACTTTTTATTAATTTGTTACTAGATTTGTAAGATTAAAGAGGAGTCTAAATGAAGGTTGAAATATTGAAATCACCAATATTAAAAATATGGCAGTACATTTATAAAGAGTTTCCACCAGAACACCTTTGGAGTTAAATGTTATGTTTGTAATAATTACTTTTCTTAAAACCAGGAATCTAAAGCATAGAAATAATATCACCTAATGTATGTGCTATTATTACTTATCATATTAGATACAAAGAATTCTTAAGTAATGTGGTTATGTTATAACAGAACTTTCAGAACAATCTTAATTTTATGAATAAGCATTGATATTAATTATACATTGTTCTGAATATTCACTTGAGACTACTATTGTTTTGACTAAACATTTTTGGGTTAAAATGATACTAATCAATAAATTACCCTTATTAATGTATGGTCTATTTATTAATTTAACTTCTGTGAATTATAATTCAGATTCTGATTTACTTGATTTTAGTACAGAAAAACATTTAATTGATATTGGATTATTAAATAATATGTTATTTTGGTTACAAAAATCTCCAGAAGATTTATTAATTATTAAAATATACAAATGTTTGAATAACATTTTGACATATTAACTTCCACATTTAGTTTATGCAGTAATTAATCATTTTTTACCCATGCTTGATTTATATTTTGAAAATTCAAATACTTTTTAAATTGAATTTGTAGAAGAATATTTGATATTGATTAAACATCTAATTAAATTTTAGAAATTATCTAAACAGAATCTTACTAAAATATTTGAAGAATAAAATGTAATGAAGTAAATTAGAGAGATGTAAAATTATCAAAATCTATATTTTTAGACTACTATAAAATAGTTTTTAGATTAATACAATTAAGAGTTTGTTTGAATCATTCGATTTATTATAAATCGAATATAAATATATAATTTTAGATAAGATAGTAAAGTATCAAATAATAGAGATTCTTAATTTATTACTAGCTAAAGATTTAATCTCTGAAGATTATTTAGATACTTTATTTGAATTGATTACAAAATGGGAATCTGAATGTAATGAATTAAATTATTCGTGAATTAATATTATTTAATTTTATGCTTAACTAACCACTTAAACCCTCTAACAAGATTGTATCTCTCCATGCTATTATGAGTAACATCAAGAGATAGAATAAATAAAAGACTAGATCTATTAGTTATCATTCAACCTAAATCAAATCAGAAGGACAATCTATTCAGTTAAGAGATGATGATTCCAAAAATAATCAGATTAAACAAAAAGATGAACTCATCAATCAATTATAATCTTAATAATAATCACTTCGTAAATAACTCAATGAGATATTTGAAGTTAATCATGATAATGATGAGTAACTCATTTTGCACATATATTCATCTATTGGTTAATTAAAAAAGGATAGAACTCAATATCTATAACAAGATGAAATTAATAGCAAAGTCATTCTCCATTACAAGTAGCTATTGTAATGTAAATCTTCATTCATTTATTTAGAAAGCACTGATATTATTGCCAGCCAAGAAGAATAGTTATCAAGTCAATAACAATTATTAATGACATTAACCAATCAAATTAAAGAAAACGAATTTTTATTACATTTGAATACCTCCCATTAAGAAGTAATTATATTTACTCATTTCATTTAGAAATAATACCTATCTAAAATCGAATCTTTATAAAGCTAAATCGATAAATTTAGAAATGGCAGTCTCTTAACCACTTTTAGAAGAGATGATTCATATCAATATAATAAACTACAATAAACATGCAAACTATTAAACTCTAATCCAGAAGAAATTGAAGAAGAAATCCTACAATTCATTCGAAATACATTTACATTCTATTAAGCTATTGGAAATCAATAAAGTATTTCTTTATTTCAATTAGTTTATGCTTTTATTAAAAGTTAATTTGAAAATGACAGATTACAATTAACATTCAATCTAAATTAAATTAATAATGAAATAATTAAAGTATTGATCAATAAATTTGATTTGGATAATGATATTGAATAAGAAATGGAACAATTAATCCTTTTGAAATAAATTAAATCCCATAATAATTAAATATTATAATTCATTGATTAATTGGGAGAGTACATCATTGTTAAATTATAAAATTATAAAAGAAATGAAATCTCCAGAATCATGTTGATATAGAATTTAGTTAATTTAAAAAGACAAATAATAAAGAAACTATGATTTAATTTATTTACTAAATATATCAATATATAGTATAAAGAATCATAACATTTTTATTGAAGATTGCTTAGTAAATCTCCTCTTTGCTACTTAAGGATCTGCAACATTTATGTTATTATTATTAATGATATTAGCTATCATTTAATAGAATTTTTAAACCCTTTTCTTTATAAATATTTGTAAAGGTCGTAACTTCCTTTGTTTAGTAATTGTTTGTAGTTTTTATTATTAATCATAATCTATCAATGGGGAAAAAAGTTATGATAACTAATTATTGAGAGACTTGAGTGATTCAATTTCACTTTGATCCCAATCTTTATTAAAAGTATTTTATTATCTCATATGTAAATCAATGACTGAATTATATATATGTATTAATTTAGTAACTGTAGAATAGAGAGAATACTAATTGTATTAATCTTGAAAATAATTCTTAATAAGTTTATGAATTCCATCTAACTCAATAATTACTGAATGTAATCCAAATTATAAACAACATTTTTATACTAAATGATGTGGTAGTTACTTATAATGCTAATAGAAATCTAAAAAAGGCAAATTGCTTTCTTTATAAGAGATTTCATTTAATTCAACAAATGGTATTTTAATTAAAGATTTAAGCAATATTTATTTAACAAAAAAGCATGATTCAGAAGCAGCAGTGAAAAATGATTCAGCTGTAACAACTCCATCTCCACCCATATAAGATTCTCTAAATAATGAACAAACCTCTTAATCTGGTACATCTGGGAAATTACTTTAAAATATTTTTTTGAAATTCTTATATGTAACTCCACTCTTACCTGAACTTTAAACAGATATACAAGCACTAAAAACTTCTTTTAGCATTGCCAATCGATTTCTCCTTTCTGTCCTATATAATTCAAGTAGAATTCTTAAAACATAATGACCATCTACAAGAGTTCCATTCCCTTTCGTGACACTACTCTCAATAATTATTTAATTTATTTAATTGTACATAGATTGATCATATTTCCATAATAGCAATTCTAAAATTTATTAAACCCAATGTAATTAAACAAAAATAACTGCTTCAAAGCTATATCTTTATTATTATGATAAGCTTCCTTTAAAAATTAAGAAACGGGAATATAAATAATAATAAAGTTCATCAGGAGAACTTAATTCGAATAATAATTCACTAATAATTATTGTATAATAATTTACTTAAATATTATTACTTCATTTAATTTAGAAAGCTTAGGACTCAAACAGTCTAATATAAAATCATTTCTTATTGGTTCGAGATGTTCAAAGCTTCTATCTTTAATGATTTCTATTTATCTAGTTTTAGAATTAATTATAAAAGTGCTTATCCACCCATATACAAAATCTGCAAATTTCACAAGAGTGTATGGATTATCCCTATATAAAAATTCATTATATTAAGAATCTAAAATTGCTCTAATTGTAGCAAAAAATAAATTGCTAATTTAATGAAATTCAATATTCCTATAATCTTATTCTAAATTCTTCATATTAGATTCATAAAATAACAAAAAACTAGGACGTGGATATTAGAACTTACTTAATGAATCATTATAAATATAATCATAACGAACGTTTTTTAGAAACATTATTGTAGTTTATTCCTAATCACTTAATTTAGTAATATTAAGTTGAGTGAGTTCTTTCATTATTTTAAAGTATTATTTATCTTAAGAAAAATTGTAGGTCAATTTTAATAGTTTTTATTCTTATTCAGGATCAATTTTAGGAACTTCAGGTCTTTTACTCTTTTCAATTTTCATCTTATCAATTTCATCCTAAAGCATTAACAATTTCTTTCTTGATTTTGCTTCTTCTCTTAAATAATGTCTATATCTCAAGTAATGAGCTGTTAGATCTTCTTCTTACATCTTACATAATTCACTTAAATGTCTATTATCACTCACTAATTTATCATAAGTCTTTTCAATATGATTATATTTCTTTTTGTCACTTTCTAAATAATTCTCAAGAATTTAAATTTAACTATCCTATTTTTAGATTACAGATTTCAATTAAATAATTAGTTGACTATTCTTGGAAACTTATTTCTCTTTTGAGTCATTCAATATTATTAATCGATTTATTTATTCATCTTTTATCTAAGTAATTCTTTAAATCTCCTCTCTTAATTTCACTACATCTTGACTTTCCTCTAAGTCTTTTAATCTACAATTAATTGTTAAATTTTACTTATTTGACAACTGTTTTATTTCTATTGCCAATTTGTTATTTTATACAAGCAATGTATTTACTCTTAATTTATCAATTTCTTTCACTTCTCTCAATGTTTTCGACTCTCTATTATCATCCCTATAATCATTCTTTAACAATTGTAACATTAGACGTTATAATGCTTAATAATTCTTATTAATATTGTATTATATCAATATACTTGAACTAATAATGGAGCTGCTTCCATTTATTTTAGTGCACCTAAAGTACTTGATGCAACTTATTTGAATAATTCTTTAAATTAAGATGGCATCTCACTTTACAATTAAGAATTTAAACCCAATATTTCCATACTTATACGTTCCTATGCTTACTTATCCATACTGATTGATTTCTAATGGAAATTTGACTTTGATAAAATGAACTTGTTTAATTTATCTGTAGATTCTATTCTTAATTATCTCATAAATATAATTATTTAATCATTTTCTATTTAATCAATATTTATCCAATTCAAATGTTTTAATCTAAGAAATTACTTAAACAAAACTTTAAAATTATAGAGTTATTTAAGAATTTTCAAAAATTCAAGATTAAAATTGAAATATGATACTCTCTTTATTTAAATTTATTATTGTATTTAGAGTTCAACAATATCTGATTCAATTATTATTTATTTTACAATTTTTAATATTAATATAAATATCTAATTGCAAATTCTATAAAATTACTTAAAAATATTTCGATTTAATTAAATACAAAATAAACTAAATTAAAAAAATCAATATCAACTAATAATAGAATTCAATAAAATAAATAAAAAATAAAATGGAAAACCCTCTAACTGTTGTTTGTATTTCTGATACTCATTCTAAATTTGTTGATTTACCTCCAGGGGATATATTTATACATTGTGGTGATTTTTCAAATTGTGGAGAGTACAATGAAGTATAAAAGTTTATAAGTTGGATTAAATAAATACCCTTTAAATATAAAATAGTGATAGGAGGAAATCATGACACATTTCTTGATACAGAAAAATATGAAAAAATTCTTAAAGATAGATTCCACAAAAATTAACCATTGAGACATTTAGAATTATAGAAGGAATTAAAGGAAAATTGTATTTACTTAGAGAATTCATCAGTAAATATAGAAGGATATAAGATTTGGGGAAGCCCATATTCTCCAACAATACCTTATAATCCATGGGCATTTTAAGTTGATTCTAAAGATGGGGAATAATTCTGGAAATAAATAGAAGAAGGCTCTGATATTGTTTTAACACATGGAGCTCCATTAGGACCTTAGTCATTTGTTAATTATTAATATAGTCAAGGAGAATGGGGAGATGAAGCATTAGCAAAAAGAATCAAAGAAGTAAAACCACTTTATCATATATTTGGGCATGTACATGAAAATTAAGGTATGATAGAAGAAGATGGAATTAAATATATTAATTGTGCAATTCTTGATGAAGCTTATCGTCTATCTGAAGAACCCTTTGTTTTTAAATTACCTAGAAGAGTTATTTCATAAAAGGAAAATGAGGATAAATTATCATAAGATTGATTTCATTTTTAAATTAGCTGAAATATTATTGTCATTTTTTAATTACAAAGAATGACCAAGACTCATTTTAGTTTTTCTTAAAATTTATGTTTCAAAGAATGATTCTTCTTTCCAGCTTATTTCAAACAAAATCTATATTTTTCTTTCCTTAAAAAGACTAAATAAAATATTCAACCAAACAAGTTATAAAAAGCTTTTTTGATTAATATTTTAAATCGATTTGTAAATTATGAATTACCTTATTATTTCAAATAAAAATAGAATGTCTTTTATTGATATTGAATTAAAATTCATTTTTTTTAATGAGTAAATAAAGAAACATAAAATGCAATATTTTATTATAGATATTTATGTTAATTCCAAATGAAGAACTTTGATAGAATTAAAAGAATTTTTGAAAAACTTAAATTAAAGATTCAGATATTGAGAAATGCAAATAATTTAAGCTAATAAACTTAGTTTCATAATTAAAATAAAATATTATCATTATCTTATTTCATATTTCTCACCAACTTTTGTAATTATTTGAAAAATGCATCTAAATTTACCTAGAAGATTTAATCATTTTATTCTTCTTAATTATCGTGTTTTTGATAAATTGTTGTCTTGTAAAATCTATTAACTACATCTAAAACTATTTTAAAGTTATTTTATAGTAATTCAAAATTATTATGATTAAATTCTTAAATCTGCATATAGTATCATCAAAGATAAATAAAATTATTCAGAAAGTGATATATAGAGTTTAATATAATTTCATTTTAGACACATTCATAAGAAGCTTAACTTATAATTTTAAGAATTAAATTTGAAGTAAAAATTATGTTANTATTTACTTAGAGAATTCATCAGTAAATATAGAAGGATATAAGATTTGGGGAAGCCCATATTCTCCAACAATACCTTATAATCCATGGGCATTTTAAGTTGATTCTAAAGATGGGGAATAATTCTGGAAATAAATAGAAGAAGGCTCTGATATTGTTTTAACACATGGAGCTCCATTAGGACCTTAGTCATTTGTTAATTATTAATATAGTCAAGGAGAATGGGGAGATGAAGCATTAGCAAAAAGAATCAAAGAAGTAAAACCACTTTATCATATATTTGGGCATGTACATGAAAATTAAGGTATGATAGAAGAAGATGGAATTAAATATATTAATTGTGCAATTCTTGATGAAGCTTATCGTCTATCTGAAGAACCCTTTGTTTTTAAATTACCTAGAAGAGTTATTTCATAAAAGGAAAATGAGGATAAATTATCATAAGATTGATTTCATTTTTAAATTAGCTGAAATATTATTGTCATTTTTTAATTACAAAGAATGACCAAGACTCATTTTAGTTTTTCTTAAAATTTATGTTTCAAAGAATGATTCTTCTTTCCAGCTTATTTCAAACAAAATCTATATTTTTCTTTCCTTAAAAAGACTAAATAAAATATTCAACCAAACAAGTTATAAAAAGCTTTTTTGATTAATATTTTAAATCGATTTGTAAATTATGAATTACCTTATTATTTCAAATAAAAATAGAATGTCTTTTATTGATATTGAATTAAAATTCATTTTTTTTAATGAGTAAATAAAGAAACATAAAATGCAATATTTTATTATAGATATTTATGTTAATTCCAAATGAAGAACTTTGATAGAATTAAAAGAATTTTTGAAAAACTTAAATTAAAGATTCAGATATTGAGAAATGCAAATAATTTAAGCTAATAAACTTAGTTTCATAATTAAAATAAAATATTATCATTATCTTATTTCATATTTCTCACCAACTTTTGTAATTATTTGAAAAATGCATCTAAATTTACCTAGAAGATTTAATCATTTTATTCTTCTTAATTATCGTGTTTTTGATAAATTGTTGTCTTGTAAAATCTATTAACTACATCTAAAACTATTTTAAAGTTATTTTATAGTAATTCAAAATTATTATGATTAAATTCTTAAATCTGCATATAGTATCATCAAAGATAAATAAAATTATTCAGAAAGTGATATATAGAGTTTAATATAATTTCATTTTAGACACATTCATAAGAAGCTTAACTTATAATTTTAAGAATTAAATTTGAAGTAAAAATTATGTTATTATAATCCTATATATAATGAGTTTTCAAATTTAAAATCTATGATTTATAAAAGGTTAATAATTTGAAAAATATAATTATATTCAAAATCTATTAAAGTTTTTTGTTGGTTTAATTCAATGAATTCTATAAATGAAAAATCGATCTTATAATTGTTTTAATTTCGTAAATGAATTCATTATATAAATCTTTTCATCAATTGTACTTAAATTTCTTAAATTTAAGTATCATCCTCTTTTTAAAAAATAGTCTCAGCTAAATCAAAATAATGATTAGGATTGACTTAGATTAAGGCTACCTTTAATCTCTCAATTAATTCATTTTTTTAAATATCTCTTCTAAAAAATATCAATGCATGAGGATTGAAAATTTTAAAATTATCTATTAAATCAATTTTACTTTTTTCCTCATCTTCACTGTAGTTTATATCTGAAACAATAATACTTATTAATGACTAAAACTTTCTAAAATACTTATAAATAGACAGTAATTTTTTTTTCATTAAATCAGTTCTCTCAAAATTAACTACTATTAAAAGTGAGGAAATTTATTTTGGGTAATTTAAAAATAACTCTTAAAACTGTTTAATCTAGATTTCTCTTTTTTCATAATCAGTTTCGAAATCAAATCCCGTGGTATCCACAAAATTATAAGATAAATTGCTATCGATCTCTAACTTATATGATTTAAATTCAATAATTTCATCTTAGAATAACTTTTGCATTAGAAATGTTTTTCCTACTCCTGAAGTACCCAAAAGAACAGCAATTTAATCTTCTTTCTTTATCTGTTCATATTGATTTTGTATTAATAGTTAATTATTATATGTTTAACTTTAAATATTATTAGCCCTTTAACAATCCAATATTAATTAATACTTATTATCAATTTTTGCAATCTAAGAAGAATCACATTTAAATTTCTTTTTTTCAAGTTACCTTAATGCTTGCTCTTCATAATATTTTGGATTAGACTCTAATGGTAATTTATTTTAATTTTATCCTTATTTCTAGTCTATTATGTAATTTTATTATTATTAAATTAATGCGCTTTACATTTATAAATTGTTTAAAAATTCTTATTAAGTTCCGATTTGAAGTTTATTAATAATTTTGTTTTTTTCTTGTTGTAAAATTAGAGGGAGGTATAAAATTTATTTCTCTTCATTATTCTAATTATTGTTTTATTCATCATCATTATTTTCTAATTCTTTTTTTGATAAATTGATATTAAATTTCTATGCTAACTTTTAATTCTTAATTTCTGCTCTTTTCATTTTATTTAATCTTTTTTGGAATAAATTTTTAGTTTTAAAGATTCTTAATAGAATAACAAAATTTATAATTTTTTATTTATATAAAAGCTTTTTCTAAATCTAAGAGATATATATATTTTATTAGATTATTGGGTAAAACTTTAATGTTTGCAGAATCATATTGGCTTTCAATAAAGCTATCCTCAATTGAAAACTTTTAATTCATCTTCATAATTCATAGTCTCAAATCCAAAATCATCATTTTTATTTATTTCCCAAACACATTTTTTGTATAGACTTTACGTACATACACCATGGCTTTACATGAGAATTTATCCTTATTATGAATTATATGGCAATGACATTTTACACAGTGTGGGACATATTCACATTATATCATTCTTAGAGGTTTTATATTACTCAATCAATTAATAAGTTAATATTGTTCAGTTAAATTTAATTAATTTGATATTAATGCAAATGCTAAATCACATTAGTAATGATTTTTCTTTATTAAATTACATCCTTTGTTAAATTTAGACTAATTAATTAATTATTTCTTCTCCATTAATACTCTGCTTTTGTTTGAGCTAAAATCATCCATAATTCTGCTAGAACATAAAATTTAATGGATCATCATTTGCATCTGATATACATTGTTAAAGTTAAAGATCAAAGACAAACTGTTTCTGCTATTTTTCCATCTTTCTGACTAAGCCATTAAAATTGGATCATCAAAAAATTACCAATCTCAATATCTCACACTAACTTATGCTTGAATTGTTCCCTGAAATTGGAATAATTGAGATAGGTGCAACAAAAGCTGATTTAGGAGAATTAGAAGAATCTCCAAATTAGTTCAAATATCTTAAACATTACGGATCATGAGGGGAAAACCCTAAATTTTAAGCAAATTTAAGTATATTTAAAATTGTGACTATGAATGAATATGGTGTTCATTGATAAATTTAATTTGCAGCATTCTAGATCTAAATCCACTTGACTAAGTATATTGATTTTAGGCCATTAGAAGTAAATGTCTCAGCTTTCAATTAATTATAGATAATCTTTAAATTTTATCAGTTTTTTTTTATTTTCAATATATTTTACAAAAAAATAAAATTTTCTAAAAGAAGAATTACCTTACCTTCTATGCATAGGATTGCATACCTGAAAGTTTGTCTCAGTTTTAACATAGAAAATTAGGCATTTTAAAATGTTTAATTATTAAAATTTTATTTAAGTCTATTACTTTAATAAATGAGTTTGTCAATATTTTTAATCCTTCTAGGCTTTATTGATGCTTAAAATAAATGGTAAATA